TCTTCACTCCCCTATACCAACTACCAAGTACTTTAAGTCCATCCTTTATTATGAGTCTTGCATTTATTCTGACCTCACATTAGTGCAAACTCTCATTATTTTATGCTTGGCTCAATTATCTTGATACAGTAGGCCCTGGAAGTCTGTCTGCCTCCAATCTTTGCTTTATCCTATGTGCTGCTACCAAATTTTACTCTTCTGAAAACAAGAACTGGCCTTTACCCAAATCAATCTAAATTTTCCAAGCCACTGAAAATGACCATTCCATGTCTTTAGGAGAAAGTATTCTACAAATTGATCTTGGCCTACTTTCCCATTCCTATGTGTGCAAATCCATTTAATCATTAGTCTCAGAGCAGTAATTATTTTGTAATAACTCACAGCTTTATTCATTCCTTAGCTTTGGCCCAAAAGTCCTATCCCCAAGTCAAAATTCTGCCCAGTTCATACACCTTTTTTTTTTTTTTTTTTTGAGACAGGGTCTCACTATACAGTTCAGGTTGGCCTCGAACTCTCAGGTCCTCCTGCCTCAGTCTCCTGAGTGCTGGGTTTACAGGCATGCATAGCCATACTGGGCACATCTCTTTGACATCTACGTAACTATTAAGTCTGCATCAATCCTTGAATTTCTAAAATCTACACTATTTCAGTCACTTATCATATTTACCAAATTATACCTTAAACACAGGCTTTTTCCTCAGTAGTGTGAGTTACATCTACTGCATCTATATGTAACTTGCATATAGATGCTAAAACATTTGTAGTTAATCAATGAAATAAAGCAAGCTCTTCAAGAAGCTAGTATAACAAATCAAATCCCATTCAACACACTACAAACTACCCAGTTGTTTTCGCAGTCAAAGAAAACTGTCTTCATAGATATTTTCATTACACTGCTTGAAATTAGCAGATCACTAGCTAATGTCTAGGTTTAACTATGATGTCAACTTGAGTGAATCTCCAGTACTGTCACTGAATTACCCTTTTTGGACTGCAGTACCATCTATAAAATGACCTTAAAATCTATTCTCAGCTTTCAATCCTACTACACTGGGCAGACCAAAGTGGCTTTTATTCAAATATCCCATCTAGCAGGATAATGCCACTTAAAAATAAACATCATCAAAGGCATTAAACCTCTACAATGCTATCTAATCCCTCTACAGAATTTTGTTTCATATAGATATTTACAACAGGCTAGGAACTTTATTAAATCATCTGTTAGAGTCAAAACAGATCTCAAGGGCCAGGGATATAGCTCAGTAGCACAGCGCCTTGCTTGGCAAGTGCAAGGTGCTGAGTATGATTCCTTGTACAAAAAAAAAAAAAAAAAAAAAAAAAAATCTCAAATGATAATCATTATTTTCTAGAACTTAAAATACTTCAAGTATACACTACTTCACATGTTTTATTTAAATCTCACAATCCTAAAAGGTGGGCATCTTTAGTATAGTATTTCCCAAAAAGGGGATATCCTGCCCTCTTGCCCTTACACACTTCATGGATATCTGGTGATATTTGGAGACAATTATGGTTTTTATAATTTGGGGGTATCTTGGTTATTTTTTGTTGTTGTTGCTGAGACAAAATATCTAACGCCCAAAATTAAGGAAGGAAAAGTTTATTTAGCTTATAGTTTGTGGAGGTTTTAGTCTATACTTGGCTGGCTCTGAGGCAGAAGATAGCAAAGCAATAAGAGCAAAGGGGGGAATGGCAGCAAGCAGCTTTTTTTTCCCCTTACATTGTAAACAGGCTACCCCCACCTGAGGGGCATGTAGCTCTCACATAATCTCCATGCTCTCCTCTTCCACAGGCTCAGGATGTATACAAAGTAAGCACCCTGGCTTCCTGAGTCACTCAGCCAAACCTCTAGACTCCCCAAGTTGACACAATGTATCAACCGTAACACTCTACCCCTTGTCAACTTGGCAACCAGATACATTTTTTAAAACCAGTTTTTTAAAACCATTGGAACCATAACATTTTACCCCCTAAAGACTCATGTATATCCCTTTATGTAAAAGGCATTTAGTCCATCTGTAAGAGTTGCTAAAGTCCTAACAGTTGCAGCACTGCTAAAGAGTCCAAGTCTCAAGTCTCCTCTGAGATGAAGGCAAACTCTTAGTTGTGACCCCCTGTATAAACGGAAAGTTAAACACTTTTAACATTTAATGGCACAAAATAAGCAGTATCATTTTAAAAGGTATAAACAGGGGGATACAGAGCATTGGGACCGAAGCAAGTCCAAAATCCAGCAGGGCTAACATTATGTCCTATAATTTTACATGTAGCATCTGAAGCAACTTGTGGCACATTGTGTGCTCTAAAGGGTTTGCGTGAGTCCAGCCCTATGGCACTTTTAGTGGTTACAGCTTTTACAGCTTTTTCTTAGGCCTGTTTTGTTTTTTGTTCGTAGCTTTTTTTAGATGATCTAAGGTCTTGGCTTTCTTAAACTTTTGAGGTCTCCAGTGTCTCTTTTGTTTTACACTCACATCTTTATACACTACTCCCTTAGGGGCACACTGCCTGGCCTCTGAGGCCTTTTGAAATCTGGGTGGAAGCCTCTTTAACCTCAGAACTCTTATATTTTCTATGTACCTAAAGCCAGGGCCACGTGCATGATGCCAAGGTCGGTTGCCACCTGGAGCAGTAGCCAAGCTTTTTTTTCTCTTGGCCATAGGGGTCGAGTGCCTCGATCGCTGGGCACTCTGAATCTAATTTTGAGGAGCAGATTTTTTATGCTGCCGCCATTTTGGAACATGGCGCTCTGAGGCTTCTTTCTCAAGGCAAGGTCTGTCACCTTTGCAGTTTTGAGGCTGTACGGGGTGGAGACTTGCTGCTTTTTGTGATGCCCTCAGGCCATCTTTTTAATTTTTTTTTTGTTTTTTTCTCAGCAATAGAGATCTCCTCAGCCTTATCTTTGCAGTCTATAGCATTACTGGAGCTTTCTTTTTGGCCAAACTCACAAATTTTAAATCATCCTGCTGGGCTCTTTGTTTTTGATTTTCAATAGAAATCTGGCTAAAAGCCCCCAACAATAGCCATGCCACTTTTTCAACATCTGACTGCCTTGAAATTTTTTTTGCCACATTAACCAGTCCGCTGTCACCCTTAATCTCAGTCTTAGGCAAAGTCTCTGGACACAAGCAAAATGTAGACAAACTTTTCGCCAAGCCATAACACACATCGTCTGGAGTCCAATAACCAATGAAGTCCTTCTTCCCAGCAGAAACCTCCCAAACCTGGTCATTACCTGCTGGATTTTTATCAGCCTTTTGGTCTTTGGAGCTCTGACCAGAATCTCCCAGACAGAACAGCCTAAAGTGTTCTAACACTTTTCTTTTAGGTGACATCTCTGAACCTTTTTGAACACTTCCCACAAGCCATTTCCAAAGGCTCTTGAACCACAGGGTCAAGTATAGTCACAGAGATGACCCCACTCCTGCTACCAAATTCTGTCTTGGTTATTTTTTGTTGTTGTTGCTGAGACAAAATATCCAATGCCCAAAATGAAGGAAGGAAAGGTTTATTTAGCTTATAGTTTGTGGAGGTTTTAGTCTACACTTGGCTGGCTCCAAGGCAGAAGATAGCAAAGCAACAAGAGCAAAGGGGGGGATGGCAGCTGAACAGCAAAGCAGCCAGAGCAAACGGGAGGAAGGGCGGCAAGCAGCTTTTTTTTCTCCCTTACATTGTAAACAGGCTACCCCCACCTAAGGGGCATGTAGCTTTCACATAATCTCCATGCTCTTCTCTTCTACAGGCTCAGAATGTATACAAAGTAAGCACCCTGGCTTCCTGATAAGTCACTTAGCCAAACCTCTAGACTCCCCAAGTTGACAGAATGTATCAACCATAACAGGGGGGTTTGGAGGAGTTGTCGCTGATTTCTAGTGCAGAGGCCAATGGTACTGCTAAATATCTTCTTCCACACCAGATACCTTCCACAACAACAAAATTATCCAGGCTGAGAAACTTCTGCTCTCATCTTTCAGCAAATAAATGAAAGATTTAGAGAAGTTAACTTACTTGCTTAAAGCCACACAGATGGTAAGTGAACAGATCTAAAATCATCTCTGTACAACACCAAAGCCATCTCTGTGCTACCACACACACAGATACTGGTGATTGTTTGTGCTAAAATTGGTATTGTTTGACATTATTGCCCTCTTTCTCCTATCTGCTTTTGGTGCTTTAAATGTTGCCAGTAAGCATAAGCAGGCCTCATCCAGGAAGGGATTCAAAAGCAGCTCTCCACAGATTTTCAGGTCAGATTTAAGAACGTCTTTTTAAATCATGCTCTCATGTGTCCAGTATTTAAAATTTCCCAGTGCAGTTCCATATAAGTGGATTTGTGTGATCATGTCCTCTTTACAAATTTATGAAGGTTTGCCTCTTTACTCTTGCATTCCTAGTGCCAAGCTAAGTATCTCAGCACAGAGGATGTTATTTCTTAAATACATGTTAAAAAAACCGACTAAAGGCACACAGCTACTAAATGACAGAACCAGGACTGAAATCCAAGTCTCTCCGCTGACAAGGCCTATCAGTTGCATCTCAAAGAAGCTAAAAGTTAAATGTTTATCTTCTCTTTTATCTCTTATCATAGCCTGTGAGAATTCTTTGATCATAAACATATTGGGAATATATAATAGCTTATTATATGAATTTTCTTTTATTGGTACAATTTAGATATATATAATGATCACATTCATCATAGGGAATTTGTACCTGTATGCGATATATCCTGTTTCCTCTTTATGAACTTTCTTATCTTACAAAAACTTCCAATTTTAATATGCATGTTCTGTAAAAGCCTATCAGATAGCATATAATGCTACTGGTAATCTCTCCCAAATACCAGAAGTATATAGGGGCCATGCTGTTTTTATGTGGTAGTCTCCCTGAATTTGACACTCACAGCTTAGAAATTGGCATTGAGTTGTCACAGACACTGTGTATAAAAATTAAGACAGAGTCTCTTAGGAAAAAAAAGAACTCACTTTAACTTTAGCTTTTATTTCTTCACTGTCCCCTTCTCCATCATTGCGGGGTTCCATACCAGATTCCTCTTGGATGCCTTTATTTAGTACTGAGTACTCTTCTAGTAGAGTGTCAAACAAAACTATTCGCTTGTTCTTGAAGAAGCCATAAAAATAAGCATTGCTGTGGGAAGAGCGTTTAGATCCTAAGGAAAAGACAGTTCAAAGCATGGAATATAATTAAAAAGTCTGGGGTCCTTTGGAGAGACTCCTAGAAATTGAACTACTGGGACGGTCATTAACATTTTGAAATTATTTCATACCTGAAAAGAAATTGTATCAATATAAATAAACACCAACAGTGGAGAGTGTGTTTCCCTGCATTCCTGTTAACAAATACTTAATGCTCATACAGCTCTATAGCAATAGGTAAAATAAGCCTAATGACTGGAATGATTAAATTATGGTAAAGCTATTAAGTGAAATTTTAAGCAGTTAAAAAATTATACTTTCAAAGAATTTTAACAAGATAAAGAACACTTTAGAATTTTAAATTATACTTTAATTTAAAAGTATAATTGACAATTATACTTTCAAAGAATTTTAACAAGATATAAAACTTACGAGGTTCCAGAATTGTCAAGAAAAAGATGTACATGTAAATAGAAAAGCATAAACACCAGCCTGTGAGGAAATACACCAAAATATTGAAGTGTTTATCACTGGGTTCCAGAGTGGATTTTTATTTCCTCTTTCATTTTTCTATTTTCTAAGGCTTTTAAAATAAGCATACTTATTTCTATAATCAGAAAAACATTAACCACTTACCAGTCCAATTATTTAAACACAGAATGAGGAAAAATTGCATTTTTTCATTAATTTTTATAAGATAACAAGAAATATAAAAACAATTAATTTTATCAAATTTATTTAATACATGAATCAACCGGTTGAAATGAAACCTGCCCAAGCAATGCTCAGGATAGTCAGTACATAAACAAACACGCTGCCCGAGTGATAAACTGCTCAGGGTAAACTGTTAAGTGGTTAAAGCTATCTTTCTGAAGAATGAAAGAAAACATACCAAAATTTTTAAAAGTGACTAACAGTAGATGAAATATGGTTTTTTTTTCTTTTCTCCTGTATGTATTTCTTTAATTTCCACATGTCCGTCAATGTGCAGAGTTTAGTTGTTAAGAGAAAAGACTTTGGGTTCAAATCTTGGCTCTGCAGTGTATTAGCTGTGTACATTTAGGAAACTTTAACCTTTAATTTCCTGTTTATGAAGTGAGGCTAACATTTACCTTATGAGGTATTCTCAGTAGAGCGATTAATATATTGCCTGATCCATATAAACTACTATTATATGATTTAAAAAAGAAATGATAAAAGATTTACTTCTTTTGAGAATGTGAATTTTGCTTCTACTCCTATTTCTAATGTTAAGAACTTGGCAGTATGTTTAGAATATGTAAAGCTTTGATAAACAGAAGCTTTTACTGAGTGATTGATTGAAGTATTATATCACTTTTGGGCTTGGTTACCTGGAAGTTAAGAGTGAAACATATGGTCCAATTTTATCAATAAGACAGGACTTCAGGGCTTAGAAAATTGTGTTACCATTCTAAGGTCACACACTTCTAATACATCTATCTTCTGTGACCCTAATTTTTGTTTTTTTGTTTGTCTGTTTGTTTGTTTATGGTACCAGGAATCAAACTCAGGACCTTGTGCTTGCCAGTCAGGCAGTGCCGCTGAGGTATATCCGTGGTCCTGTGACCCTAATTTTTAAATTTACTTAAAAATACTTTAAAGCTATCTGTACAAGTAGGCAGACCATATTAAAAAAAATTAAAAATTATTCTTCTCTTGTTCCAGGTATCTCAAAGTATGGTTTAAGGAACAGATACTGCAAAATCACCTGGGGTGCTTATTAGAAACAGACAGAAGAAATACCTACTAAGTCAGAATTTTTAGGAGTGGAAGCCAGGAGTCCTCACAATAAATTGACTGTAAGATTGTTGTACTACTATGCCTAGCACAGAGTATATCTTCAATAATGTTTGTTTCTTGAATGGGCTAATGATATCACTTGAAAATAATGTATTAGAGAACTCTGAACATCAAAATATAAGCCACTGCCACCTGTGTCTTAATCCTTTGCTTATGATGTCTCACCTTAACCTCCAGGCAACATTTAACCCTGGAAACCACTTCCTCCGAGAAACACTTTTTCCTGGTTTTTGAGATACCATTTTCTTCTAGTCTTACTAGCTCCATGGTTTCTTCCTCAGCCTCCTTTGCTGGCTGTTCCTTCCCTTCAGATTCTGACCGTGGCCCCTTTCTCTTCTCTAAATGCCCTCAACCATGGCCTTAAACTTCATCTGCATGCCAGACAGTTCCAACCTATATTCCATACCCTGATCTTTCCCTCAAATTCCAGACTCATATAGCCAGTTGCCTGTCTGACATCTCCATGTGGATATCTGTAGACAGATTTACTGTGTTTGTATTCTTAGGTACTTTTTTCCTGTCCAATGTTATCTCCTTTTGGAGTCCAAGACACTTCATACCAAGTTAAGTCTTGTGAGAGACCACTTCCCATTGAGAAACCAAAGAAGCCAGGTAGGTATTTGCTTCCCCAGCAGTCCTGGCAGCTAGTCCATGTCCTGGGTGGATCTCAGATACATCCACTGAGGCTTCTGCATAGTCAGTAATTACGCAAAGCGGCAAGACAGTGACTTACAGGTGGAAGTGGCAGGAACGAGAAGGATACAAACCCCAGTGTCCTAAGGTGGCATCATGTCTTCCCTAGACTGACTGGGCAGTAGGATTGAGTTCCCAACCTCCCTATATTACAATCCATTTTGCAAGGTTGGTAAAGTTTCTGTGGAGATTTGGTAAGTTACCAAATGTTTCTTAAGCAAATTTTCTGCTCAGATGAACCACTGTTAGTTGCTATTGTTTGAAAACTGTGATTAATAACAATATATTTTTAAAAAATCTTAGTATGTAGAACTCTTCCTCACAAACCTGCCTTTCCCTCATTTTTTCCCCCCCGAATAAAATAACGACTCAACTGCCCACATCAAAAATCTAGATTGTTATCTTTGATGGTCTTTTTCTTATTTCCTGAAATGCAGTTTATTATGAATTCAATCAACTCTACCTCTAAAATCTATTCCAAATGTATCCACTTCTCTCCATCAATTACTACTCTCCTAGCATAAGAAACCATTATTTCCTACATGGACTACTGCAACTATCTCCTAACTGTTCTCTCTTCTTCCACTCTTGCACCGTCCTACAATGTATTCTCCATATAGCAGACCAACATAGTTTAAAAAGTACAAGTTACACTGTGTCATTTTTCTACTTAAAGCTTTTGATGGTTCCTCCTACTGAATTAGAAACCCAAACTCCTTACCCTGACTTACCAAGGCCCCTATGGTCTGATTCTAGTCTGTGGTTTTATCTCATAATACTGTACTCTCCTGCTTTGCTGCAGCCACACTGGATTTGTTCATGGTCCTTGAAGACACTAAGCTCGAGGTCTTCCTGTGGATTTCAATGTGGATGACTCCTACCTTCAGGTCTAAGCTTACCAGTCACTTGCTCAAATAAATCTTCTCTGATGGTCCAATCTAAAGCTGTCCCATCCCACTAATTTAATTCTCTGCACAATACCTGCTATCTAATATTTTTTAAGAGTAGGATTCTTGGCTTTTCATTGTAACATCCCTGTTAATTTATGATTAGATAATGTATGCTGCATTATTAGTAAGATTCATTCATTCAAACTATTTTAAAGGATTGTTATTATTATTAATAACAAGAAAAACATGCATTACAGATGAATAAACTGCTACTTAGCAAAAGTAAGGTTGCCCAAAGTCACACAGGTAACTCACGACAGAGCCAAGATTCAAACCCAAGCCTACTGACTCCAAAACCTGACTTTAGAAATGTTATTTTTCAACCCACTCAAATCCTGATTTTCCATAGCCTCAGCTCATGTCATAATCCTCCAGAAAGCCTTCCCTAAGTATTTCCTCTGAAAAAGAAAATAGCACTGACGATATAAGCACATATTTTATCAATTATCTCTACTATCATTATCGGTAGCTGTTTCACACTACCTAATTGTAACTTAAGTGATCAACAACTTAGAGCCCCTTCAACAGAGACTCTTCTGTTATTATCACCTAATGATATAGTAGTTTCAGAGGGTAAGAAAATATAAAGCGGCTTATTCTTCTACTATTTCCCCCACAGAATCTTAAGCTGTTCTGATTGTGCCTTTGGTTAGCTAAAGGCATAATCTAAATGTCTGAGACCTATATTCTTCTAATAGCTGTTAATTCATTCTTTTCAGTAAAGACCATCTTTATTCTCCCCTCACTCTGCAACTATTCCTTCATCTAACATAGCTGCTTCTCACTGGAAGTAAGTTTACACTAGGTGTCAGCAAACTGTGACTTTCAGGCTAAATCCATCACAGTGCTACTTTTACAGAGGTACTGCAACACAGCCATGTGCATGTGTTTATGCATTATAATTGCTTTTGCACTACAACAGCAGAGCTGGATAGCTGCAACAGAGACCAAACAGCTTGCAAAGGTTTAAATACTTACTATCTAGCTTTCTACAGAAAATATTTGCCACACTGTAGTTTAGAGAAAAGTACAACTAAAACCCAGAGAGATGAGCTGTCCAAGATCCCATAGCTGGTAAGTTGCAGAGGTAGAATCAGATATATTCATTTGTATAGATTTTGGTCATTGTACCTTACAAAACAGTTTTTCTCTACATCTTTACAGGCTTCCTTGAAGCTTTATTAGTCTTATGCAAGCAAACAGCTCAACTCTCAAAGGCAGTTACCAGAGAAGCAGAGTATAACTGTCTGAAGTACTTGATGGTACTTACAGTTTTTGGTAATTTATAGTTTAAACAGAGTCCCTCAGAACACTAGATGCTTTGTTGGACAGACAGCATCAATAATGTTGATTTTGTTTTTGGTTTAGACCCTCTAAACTAATGCTAAATAAAACCTGACTATTTAAGAGTCCAACTCAATTACCTATAGGAGCTATGCAGGTAACAGAAGTGAATAAATCAGTTTAGTATACAATACAACAAAGTGTGAAAAAGGAGTGGCCAAAGATTAAAAATAATACTGTAAAGTTAATCAAACATAGTTTTGGACAAGAATAGGATTTCGCGTTAGGAGACCAGTTTTTATCCCTGTGTCACCAATTCCTATAAATCTGAAAATGCCAAAATGAAAAATACTATCCTAATAACTAAATAACATTTAAAAAGAAAACACTAAAAACTGACTTGTTATTCCATTAAAACTTTAAGAATAAAGTCTCAAAACAAGCCCCTTGAACACAATCTTCTTATCTCCAAATAGCCTTACCTTCAACAACATACACCTTAGTCAAAGGAAAATCAATATTCTTTGCCATTACTTCAATTTCTTGTTTAAGCTTTCCCTCAGGCAGAGGTGTGAATTTGTCAAATAAAGGGGCAATGTAATCAGCATAGATTGTGACAAGCACCTGAAAAGTAAATGTCAGAACAACCTATGAATACATTCTTAAAGAAAAACTACTCATTATTTTTCAGATTTAACTGCACTGAAATAACTGCATCCATCCTAAATCTGAAAACACAGAACTTACTTGCACTGGTATTCCTAGTCTCAAATAGTTCCAGACAGAGCTTAGTATCTGAGGAATTAAGTCAAAGCAGTAATATACCTATCAATTTTATCTTAGAAAATAATACTCTACTAATAACAGTGATTAAGATCTCTGGGTGGTAACAGTCCTTTCAATGCTATCTTGGGGATTCCTGGCACTTTATAAGTCAATTATAAACTGCAACTCTGCCTTTTACAGTGTTTTGTTTTGTTTTGTTTTGTTATGTTTCTTGAGACAGGGTCTTGCTATACAGTTCAGTCTGGCTTGGACTTACTATGTAACCTAGGCTGGCCTCGAACTTGCAGCAATCCTTCTGGCTCAGCCTCCCAAGTGCTGGGATTATAGGCCTGTACCACTCCACCTAGTTTTTCAGAGTAACTATGATAGACTTGAAGTCTTTACTAAACAAGCATTTACAAGAGTTTGTATGTACATGCTCTGACTGTATGTTTTCATTAGAACTGTTAAATAGTTGGTAAAATTACCTGCCATTCCTAACTATACACTTCAGTTGAAACAGCGTTCTCTTAGCCACTCTTGGGAGTAGTGCCTCTGCTTTCTTTCCTTTTACTTCAGTTTGCCATACAATAGACATTTGTAAATTCAACTATTACCCACTCCCAAATCTTGATCTCACTAGTGGGAAGTAAAGCAACAAGTGTCAAGTAATTCAGATTAAAATAAACCGCATTGTCAATGGAATTGAAGAGCTGACAAATGAGGGACTGATTCTGATGTGGTGTTTGTGGTGTGAAGCAGTTTAAAATAGAAGAAGAGAGAGAAGGAAAAGATGTGAAAGTTGGGGATGTAGCTCAGAAGTAGAGCATTTGCCTCAGATGTGTGAAGCCCTGGTTCAATTCCTAGCATTGAGAAGAAGGAGGAAGGAGGGAGAAGGAAGAAGGAGGGAGAAGGAAAAGGATGGAGAAGGAAAAGGATGGAGAAGGAAGGAGGAGAAGAAGGAGGAGGAAGAGGAGAAGGAGAAGGGAAGGAAAATAAAGAAAAGGGGAAGAAGGAGGAGACAGAAGATGTGAGGGAGGAAAATGGGGAGAAAACATTAAAAAGAAAAGAAGGAGGAAGAGAGAAGACAGGACATGGTCAGGGAGAAAAGGGAAATAAAAGGATAAAGAATGGGTAAAAGAAAGATGGGGAAGGGAACAGAAAAGGGGTAAGAAAGGAGGAAAAGGAGAAGGGAAGGCAGAGAGAGGAGGGCAGAAAAAAGGCAGATAACTGTATGCTTTCTTTCTCTTGTTGCTCGTAAATCTCTTCTTTCTTCAAAACATTCATGCTTTTTAGACACAGGTGGTCAGTTAAGAGTCATTAAATTATCACACTCAGTCATTCATTTGGTGGCAGTTCACAAATATACAGCCCCAAACTACTTGGCAACTGGATCACTAAAAGTGATCAACAACTATCTTCTACAGTCTGTAAGAGTTAGCAGAAAGAAAAGCAAATTTATGGTCAGTCAGTTCTCTTGTATCTATACCCAAAAGCGGAAACCAACAGGGAAATTTATGAGTACCTCTTTACCGTTCATCCTCTTCTTAACAGCTGTTGACATACTAATGGAAATTAAGACACAGTAATCTTAGAAGAAACTTATAAAACAAACTGAATATTTTACTCACCAGAGAAACAACTAATGTGAACAGCCAGGCATAAATAAAAAAATAGTCACCCCCAATTTTAATAATGTAAAGCAGAAGTGAAGACACAGGCAATAAAATACACTGAGTCACAACAAATTTCTTGATTGCATCTTTCATAAAGAAGTCCAAAGTCTGAAAAAAAAAATTGCCATGAGAAACTGGTTTTGCTTTTTAAATAAACAGTGAATAAGGAGAAAGTATTATTGGAGCAATTTTAAAAAATTAACATGCAGTGGGACTGTATTATGTGACAGTAGGTAGTCTAAGACAATAAGTAAATGTTTGAATTTTATTGTTTGAAATAAATTCATTTAAATGCTATAGCTGAAAAACAAAGCATTAGCACTTGAGTTTACAGCAAGACTTTAAACCATGATATTTCCCATAGCTGCAATTCCTTTTTTCTCAATTAATTCATGCTCTGAAGTAGCAAATTACCAACCCAGAAGCAAAGAAAATCTCTACATTAAAAAAAAAATACAAATTATATTTTCTGTTATACCTGATGATTGAAACCATGCTTTTCTTCTATCACAAATGTATTATAAAGACTCCATGGCAAACCAGTTAATGCACTGAAAAGTGTAGCCAACAGCAGAAACACCAAGGATTGAGTGATCTAAACACAAGAAAAAAAAAATTGCCATTTTTATGATATAATTCTTCAGATTAACTCTTCAGATTTATAATTAAGAGTTACAATTAAGAGTTATAATTCTATAACTCTTCAGATTAACTACTGGAGAACAACAAGTATTTCCTGAGTACTTATCCTAAACAAGCAATGTACTTCATTCCACAGGTAACAGAAGGTCTGTAATATCCCTGCCTTCAGAAAAAGTTTACTTGCAAGGAAAAGAGTAAAAAATGAATAAAACAATCCTCTTTATTTCACAGGCCCTGTATGAAAATTATCTTAGATAACACGGATAACACAATTAAAAGAATTCAGAAAAGAGAGAAAAATACTATATGCTGGTGAATTCAAGGAAGGCTTACAGAGCTGATGGGACTTGAAATGCCATTTTGGAGTAAGAAAAATTACTGGGACAGGAAAGGAAGTAATGAAGAATGTCAAGCAATTTTCAAAAGCATAGAGAGAAAAGAGCACCCAAAATGTGGAAGATGGTAACTTGACACATCTGGTCGGGACCAGGAAGAGAAAATAGAGACTCCAAAAAGCTGGACCAAGACAGATGGGGTAGGGTACATTCAATTTTTCATAAAAAGCCAAAAACCTGATAGAGAAAATTATCCTCAAGAGTTACTTTAACTGGCCAGGCAAGGTGGTGAATGCATGTAATCCCAACTACTTCGGACCCTGAGGCGAACCGTTTAGTTTCTCTTTCCTGGGACAGTGCAAGATAAGGCCTGTTTCTGGAAGGGAGATGTTGAGGGGAAAGAGCCATAAAGCAGGGACTCTTTTATCTCCTCCTCCTCTTCTACCACCTGGCCACTGCCCTCATCCTAACTGCACGGAAGAGCCATAAAGAGCCATAAAGCAAGGACTCTTTTATTTCCTCCTCCTCTTCCACCACCTGGCCACTGCCCCCATCCTAACTGCATCCTCTTGCCCTAGTGTAACACTGAATGCTTGGAAGGTGAAGGCGATACGCCATGTGTTACCGAGATATACTGGATTTGGTAGCAAACATATGGCCAGTGTACGTTTCTAACCATAGGAGGGTAGCAAGGGGAAAAGCAAAGGAGGACATTTTTCAGGCTATAACATGCAGCATGGTTTCTTCCAGCTTTTATTCTCAAACAGGAAGTAGGAACAAATTTTAAAAACAGACTCCAGGACCATCCTCAAAAGAGTGAATCAGAATCACTTGTTTTTGGCTTTGTTTTGTTCTTTCCAGTGCTGGGAAACCCTGGGCTTCATGAATGCTAGGTAAGTGCTCTCCTCTAAGCCACATCCCTAGCCCTAAACAGTATTGGAATGCTTGCTTTTCTCATTTTACAACATATGAATATCTTTTCATAACAATGTATCCACATCTTCATTGTTAATAGTTCTAGAGGGTTCTACTGTGTAAGTGGACACTTAGGCTATTTCCATTAGAACATTCATTATAATGCTATATCAAGCTCCTTTATAAATACATTTCAATGCTTCATTCTCCATAAAGTTATGGAAGTGTCAAAGTATATGAATTTTTAAAAGGCATCTATACTGCCAAGTTGTCCTGAAGAAAAACTACTAGTTTTTAATCTGTTTTTAATCCTGTAATCTGAGATAAAAACTATCTCACTATCACTCCCCAATTCTATCCCATCATTCTTTTTTCTCTATCTGATATGAGAGGTCAAAAACAAACAAACAAACAAAAACTACACACAAAACTCCAGTATTTCATTGTTGTTCTAAAATACATTTCTGTGTGGTGTCATGGGGGTCTTTAATCCTAGCACTCAGAAAGCTGAGATAGAAAGATCAGGAGTTTGAGGCCAGCCTGGGCTACATAGCAAATTCAAGGCTAGCCTGAACCATGCAGTGAGATCTTGTCTCAGAAAACTTAAAATAAAACATGTACCTATATCTATGTATATGTATATACATTTCTTTGATTATTTTTGTGTATTAATGGCTATATGAATTTCTGCCTTTGTGTTTTTCCACTCTGTCCATCCTTCTACTGAAGTATTCAACGTTTTCTAGAATGTTATTTCTGTAAAGAATTCTTTCTATATTAAATTAAATCTTACTTTTATTTACCAATTTCCCTCTGACTTATATGTCTTTTAAATTTGTTGGGTTTTTTTGAGACAGGGTCTTGCTATATAGTGGCCAGCCTTGAAATTGAGGTTATCCTTCTCCTGCAGGATTCTATATGCTGGGATTATAGGCATGTGCCACCACATTTGTCAATGCCTTTTAAATTTGCTAATGCTACTTTTACCAAATTTTATCTTCATGGATTCTATCTTTGGTATGAAACTTAAAAAGCTAATTATATTAAAAATGTATTGGTTTATGATTCAAGGTTTTTGTGCATTTAAATATTCAATTCACCTGAGTTAATTTTTCTTGTAGGAATTCATTTTTATTCAGTTGTCCTAAAAAAATTTACAGTTTACATTTTTCTCACTGATCTGCCACCTTTATCATATGCCAAGGTCCTACATATGTTTAGGCCTATTTCTTGTATCAACATATACTTTAAGCTTTATGATATATTTTAACACCTAAAGTAAAAATTTTCATTCATTATTTATTCAGAATTCTTTTGGCTATTCCTTTATTTTTATTCTTTCAGATTAACTATAAATCATTTTATCTTGTGTCCCTCACAAGTTGGTCTATTCTTTTTTAAAAGTTCATAAATCTCTTTTTTAATAATATACTATATAATTTTGATGAGGCATTGGTCTTGTGTTTAGCATTCTGTCACAGAACCTGCCATGTTCTCCTTCTGAGAATCTAATTGCCCATGTGTAGTGCTTTAAAACATCCTCCATCCTCTCAAATTTATTAACATATGTCAAAAGTTCAAATTCCTTCCATGGAATAGTATGAAAATCATCTATGTTTTAAGACTTGAATTAATTTAAAACAATTTGATTCCTTCTTAGTAGTTCACTTTTCTGATGCATAAGTCCTGCTTTAAAATGGTAATTCCATCAACAAATCATTTTACTTGTTAAAAAAAAAAATGAGTAAGTCCACCTTTATCTTCAATCAATACACTTATTCCTTCCTAAGATTTCAAGTGCTTTTAAAGCTCTTTTCCCTGAATCACTAAAATACCATCTTAAAAAGTGATCTCTCTGCCTACAATCAATCACATTCCTTCTAATCCAACCTACATACATTCCACATCGTTTGGTTTTTTTTCTGGTACCGGGAATCAAACTCAGGACCTTGAGCTTGCCAGGCAGGTGCTTGTGCCATGGAGCTATATCTCCGACCCCTCCCACATTACTTTAAAATCCCACTTCTCTACTGAAAAACCTTAAATGGCTCTCTAATATAAGACTTCACACTCATTACATTTTAAAGGATTTTCATATTCTGGCTCCAAATGCTCCTTGCTACCCTTCCTCTATATGATGCTTCTACTAACAGACAAGCATGAGATAGAATTTCAAAAGGTAACTGAATTAAGGGGAGGAAAATATGTCAGCTGAAAAGAAGAATCATGGCAGGAAAGTCACTCTGTAGGAAACATAAAGTGTACAACCTCCAGCAGCTTTTCCCAGAAAGTTTTTAAACCAACCCAGAAAGGAGAAAGTATCCTAGGAACAAGGTCTACTGGGCAGTGAAGAGTAAGGGTTTTAACCCACTGCTTCTTAAGAGGTCAACAAGGTCTGGGCTCTAACCCTGCTGGTCAACATCAAGGCTCTGAAGACATAGAACATTAAAAAGTCTTGCAACCTGAGGGGTAGGGACTCAGAAGGACACATCTTGAATAATGGCATGATCCACCCTTCATCTGAGATGAATTTACTCTATTCAATGTGTTGACAGAACTCTGGCATTCTCAGTCACTGAATCAATTACTTGGGAAGAAGGGCAGAAATACGTATCACTGTATGAAATAAAGACACTGATGATGAGACCTCTTATTGGTAGTTTGGAAAAGTAGAAATTTCTGCCAAACAACATATTGCATACCTATACCTACTGTAAGCTGAGGTCCAACTACTTTTCTTTTTTAGGTCTTTTTTTTTTTTTGAGACAAGGTCTCACTGTGTAGTTCAGAGAGGCCATGAAGTCACTAGGTAGCCCTGGGTGTCTCAAACCCTCAGCAATCCTCCTACCTCAGCCTCCCAAGTGCCGAGGTTACAGGCATACACCACCATGCCTGGCAACTTTTCTTCTTTAAGAAAATGGTTTCAATTTATACAAGAAGTACATTTTCACTGCTAAATTTTCTCAAAATAATCAAAGTTAAAATTGCCAAATCCTCGGAAGAAAAAACCACTTTTTGCATTTTGGTATACATTACTCCAGACTTCTTCCGATATGTGCACAAAGATAAATATACAAGGACACACAACATGGTATGATTAAGAAAAACCATCTCAATCTAAATGTTCATCATAGCCAGGCATGGAGGCACATCCCTATGATCCCAGCACACAGGAGGCTGAGGCAGGAGGACTACCATGAGTTTGAGGACAGTCTAAGCTAAGCTACATAGTAAGTTCAAGGCCAGCCTAGACTACAGAGCAAGACCCTGTCTCAAAACACCCCCCAAATTAGTGT